TCCATTGTTAGGCTGATGGTCCTTCTTGAGCATGTGATCAGCTGGTTCTGGTTGTCAGCAGCAAAACTGGTTGATCCACTCTGAGAAGGTGCTATTTAAGAGACTGAGCTGAATACAGCACCTCAGACTGAGGAAGTCTCTCGGATGAGGGACGAAATGTTTCTAGATTTTTTTGTTGATTTGCTTTGTTTTTTGGGGTTTTTTTATGTCCAGAGGACCAGATTTAACTTTTTTAGATTTAATCTGATTATTGAATTAAAAATGAGGTCATTTGAAACACAAACAACAAAAAGTGACAAACAAAACAATTTAAATGATGAACAGAAAAGTCTGTTCTGAAAACTCACCGTCTATGACCGAGACTCTAAAGTTGCTGTACGAATCCGTCCCAATGGTTCTGTCCAGGTGACACCTGTATTGTCCCGAGTCAGACGGAGTCAGCTGCTCTATGGTCACATAAATAATTGTAGAAGAAACTGGAAATGTTCCTTCTTCATAGCCAACCCCGTATGGACCTCGTTGAGCTCTGACTCCATCAGTCTGAACAAGAATCTTGTCTCCTTCACATTTTCCTCTGCAGAAAGATTTTGTTCTTCCAGAGAAACTGAAGCGACATCCGACAGTGAGCGAGCTGCCGGCTGTTTTAAAGAAGACGTGGTCTTTGTTTCCATCCAGCAGCGCTGTTGGAGATAAACCAACCATCAGTTACTTCCTGTTTCAACAGGATGCAGTCTGATCACAGTAATCTGTTGGACTCAGTCACACTGCAGGGTTTCTGCTCGTCTCCGTTAAAACAAAGACCTAGGACCTTTAAAAGACCATTACACAGAAAAAGACATGGCATAATCAAAAAAGAGGCAGAATACACCAATTTGAAAAAAGACAAATGTGCACATGCACAAGATGGTAGGGAGCACTACATTCGTGATTAACCTATATATACATTTATATACATATATATATATATATATATATATATATGTATATAATACAGACACATCTAAACATACACATATACGTGTATATACATATGTACATGTAAATATACATACATGCACATACATAAGTGTCCGGGGTAGCACAGATTTACACGGCTCTATGTTTAATGTATGGAGAGGAGGTGCACAGACTGATGAGGGACAAAGCCATCATTAGAATTCAAATGTAAGATCTCCACGAACTTCAAAAATAAGAAGTCGTGAAAATTTGTTCCAAGTAACTCCTTCATTGCCTTTCAATACTTACCTACTTTGGACTTAATGCACAAATTGAAGACCTAATTACGTGTTTTAGGGCTTAAAATGGAAAATCTGGACATATTTACGATGTCTTAAAGTCTAAAATGAAGATGTTTAGATTTTAGACTTTTTGTGACTTGTTTAAATCCTGCAGAAAGCCTGCAGCGAGCATGGCCCAGTTCAACCAGTCTGTGACTGGAACAGTCCCTCCAACAGGAAGACTCACCGTCGACAACAAGTAGTCTGAAACCTCTGAATGAAGCTGATGATAAAGAGTCGCCCAAACCACATGTGTACTGTCCGGAGTCCGACTGGGTCACGGCTGAGATGCTCACAGACACAGCAGGAGAACTCAGAAAAGATCTTTTGCTATGTTCAGTTCTGTATCGTCCTTTTTTGTCTGTGTCCTTCTTTGTTTTAATGAGAAGATTTTCTCCTTCACAGTTTTCTCTGCAGAAGATCTTCCATGTTTCGTCTGAGTCAAAGGAGCATCTCACTGTGAAGTCTTGTCCAGCTTCTCTGTAGTAATAATCCACTTCCTGATCAGTTCTGGCATGTCCAACCTGCAGAGCTGCAGAAAACATCCACAGTTAATCTTAGTTCTTCCTGAGAGAAACCACAGAGTGAGCTCAGCATGTTCTGCTTCAGAATTACACCCCGGAAGAGAAACACCCTGAGAAGAATCCAAAAAAGTTCAATCTGGTCCTCTGGACATTCAAAAAAAACAAAAAACAAAACAAAGCAAAAAAAATCTAGAAACGTTTCGTCTCTCGTCCAAGAGACTTCCTCAGTCTGAGGAGCTGTATTCAGCTCAGTCTCTTAAATAGCACCTTCTCAGAGTGGATCAACCAGTTTGCTGCTGACAACCAAAGCAGGTTGTCAGCAGCAAACTGGTTGATCCACCCTGAGAAGAACGTTCAGAAGACAGAAATACTTCCATTCAGTTAGAAGATTACCAGTGTTAGCACCGTAACAAGGTAAGAAACAAACTCAATGTACTCACACAGGAAGAAGAGGAAAATCTGACGCTCGGGGCTCATGTTGAGACTGAAGGTTTCCTGCTGCACCTTTTTTCTTCTCATGCTTATTTAGAAATGAATTAGTTCCTTTTTAAACATGACACAACTTCCTGTTTCAGTCAGAGTTTCTTTATTGTCATTCGCACCTCATGTGGTACATGTGGTGGAGAGAAATTATGTTCACAGGGTCCCAGTTACATCCAACAATAAAATGTATAAGAAAAACAGTAATAACATCTAAGATATGAACTAAGAAAAACATCAACTAAATATACACTAAGCACTCATAACATAAAACATTGAACATCAGCACAAACATGAACATGAGTCTGTGAGCAGATGTGCACGCATGAACACATCAACATTGAAACAGATCAGCAGCAACATGAAACAGATCAGCAGCAACATGATATGGTTTTTCACAGTGATTATTCTAGTTAGAGATTCATGAGTCTAACAGCCTCAGGGTAGAAGCTGTTCCTCAGTCAAGTGGTTCTACACTTAATGCTCCTCAACCTCCTTCCTGAGGGGAGTGGGGCAAAAAGTGTGTGTGCTGGGTGAGTGTGGTCCTTCATGATGCAGGTGGCCCTCTTCCTGCATCTGGAGGTGTAGATGTCTGTGATGGTGGGGAGACTGACTCCAACATCTTCTGTGCAGCCTTCACCACTCTCTGCAAAGCTTTTCTTTCTGCAGCTGTGCAGCCTCCATGCCACACGTTGATGCTGGAGCACAGGATGCTCTCCACTGCACACCTGTAGAAGGAGGTGAGGACTGAGCTTCCAGACCAGCTCGTCTCAGCCGTCTGAGGAAGTAGAGTCTCTGATGAGCTTTCTTCATCAGGCTGGTGGTGTTGTTGCTCCAGCTGAGGTTATTGTTCAGGTGCACACCCAAGTTCTTGTAGCTGGAGACCACTTCCACCGCAGATCCTCTTATGTTCAGGGCGGTGTAGATATTTTTGTTCCTTCTGAAGTCCACAACCATCTCCTTTGTCTTCTTCACATTGATGTAAAGGTTATTCTCTTTGCACCAGCTCTCCAGGTGTTCCACCTCCTGCCTGTAGCTGGACTCATCATTGTTTGTGATGCATCCCACCACCGCTGTATCATCTGCAAACTTTACAATGTGACAGCCTGGATGGGTAGCTGCACAGTCATATGTGAGCAGAGTGAACAGGAGGGGGCTCAACACACATCCCTGAGGAGAGCCAGTGCTGAGTCTTTCAGCTGCAGCAACCTCTGTTTGTGATTTATTTAAAGATTGTTCAGTTCAGTTTATTTCTAAATCTCCAAGTCACAACAGAAGTCGTCTCAAGGACTGAACAGAAACATTCATGTATAAAATAATAATTGAACATTATTTATCTGAGGAGCAGCTTTGAGTTTAACTCCATCACAGAACTCTCATCTTGAACAAGCATGAAGGCGACAGTGGAAAGAAAAACTCCCTCATGAGGAAGAAACCTTTAGCAGAACCAGGATCAGGACAAGAGGACCATCTGCTTCGGGTTTGTACGAAAAATTTATTTCATCCTCTTCCTCTTGTTTCAGAGTTGGGTCTCGGGGGCAGCGTGACAGTTGTGTTTATTTGTTATTGTTTTGGTTTTAATTCTGGGTGAGCGGTGGCGCAGCGGGTAGAGAAGGTGGGCCTGTGATCCAAAGGTCACCATTTCAACTCCCTGGACCGCAACCATGAAAATGTGGGTGGGAAAGGTGAAGCACCCACACCTGCCTCCACCCGCCCCTCGGCTCCTGAGCAAGGCCCACCATCTGCTCCCCTGGGTGCCCTACATGGAGCTCTCTGCTCCACAGAGGGCTGTGGCAGCTCGGTGTCTGTGGTTGATCAGGAAGAACATCTGGTGTAAAATCAATCACCAAGTCTTCATGTGAGTTAGTTCTCTGTGACGACCTGAAGAAGGAACAGCCAAAAGAAGAATAAAAAAGTTTTTATTGTAATTATATTTATTTTATTTTTAAACATCCATTAATAATGCAGGGGCAATATTAGGGGTGGGCAACTAGCGGGGCCCCTTACTGGTTGGGGGCCCCAGGCGGTTGCCCACCTTTGTCTATATGCTGCAGCCTGATTTTTAACCAGTACAGGCAAAAGAGAGCACATTACACCAGTTCTGGCCTCCCTGCACTGGCTCCAGGTTCACGCTCGAATTTAAATCCTTCTGTGTGTTTTTAAATCTCTGAACAGTTCTGCCCCCTCCTGTCTCACTGATCTGCTGCAGCCATATGTCCCACAGCGCTCTCTGAGGTCAGCAGATCAGATGCTTCTATTGGTTCCATGAACCCTCTTAAGCTCAGAGGTGACAGGACCTTCTCTGTTGCAGGTCCAAGACTGTGGAATGAGTTGCCACTGCATGTCAGACAGCCCCCCCCCCCCCCCCTTACTGTTTTTAATTCTTGTTTAAAAACCCACTTTTATTCCCTGGCTTTTGACCTTGTATGACTTGATTTTAACTTGTCTGCATTTGATAATTGTAGTCATTTGGTTCTTATCTTTACCTCTGTGGATCCATGTATTTTATGCTGTGTCCTTTGGTTGTGTTGTTTTGCTGTAAAGCACTTTGGTCAGCCTTGCTGCTGTATTTAAGTGCTTTATAAATAAAGGGACATGGTATGGTATATGATAAGTCTGCCTCTGGAGACTGCGACAGATGGAGTTTTGACCGTCAGTCTTATTTTAAGATTGTTTCTGGAGGAAACCTAGATGTAAAGAGACTGAAGACACAAACCAAATAATCTTCAAATAGACAAACGAACAATTGCAATTTTGGTTTTACTTGGTTTCAGCAAATGAACGACAAGCTAACAGTGTTAGCTTGTTACTGTCCTGTGATCAGCAGAGAAAAGGTCAAAGGTGAACTGATGGAGATGTTCAGCAGCAGGATGGAGGACTTAATGTCTGCATTGTGGATTTGAGGGTCTTGTACAGGACAGGAGGGTATAAGTGCTATGTGTTGTCATCATATGTTCCTTACAACAACAAAACTGGTTCTCTGTATTTAACCCACCACTCCATCTGGGATACACTCAGGTGGCGCAGTGGACAGCTATTGAGTGCCCAGGAGCAACTTAGGGATTGGGTGTCTTGCTCAGAGGCACCACAACATGTGGGAATGGCTGGTAGAGGAGCTTGCATCTTTCTGGTCCAAGGTCTGCTGCCCTACCTCTACCCCATTTCAGCCCCATATGATGGGGTCCAATGAAGTTCCACAGCAGGTAAGTTATCAACTGAATCTGGATAATATTTTATGAGCTTTCATTCACTCACTTTCTCACTGTGGTTGGACGTTCCTCCAGATGTTCCTGTGCTCTCCTGATCAGAGGTTTCCATGGAAACTGAAGGGGAGAAACTTCATGATGTGGACTCTAAAGTTTGTGGTTAGAAGTGGAAAACCAACCTATAAATGACCACAGAGTTCTGTTCTTCAGACACGTTAATATTAACGTTTAAAACATGACTCTTGTGTTTTTGGATTATCTGTTTACAAACTGATGTGTGCCACATTCTGACTCAATGTGTTCAGAGCCATTCACATTTTTAAACATTTATAATATTACATGCAATACTCTAAGGGACATGCAGAATATTTTTATCAGGATAAACTTAGTGGTGATGTTCAACTCTGTATGAATTTTCCAGAAAACATCTGTTTGTCGTGAGTTAGCCGTTTGAGTTTCACATACCAATGTTCTCCTGAAGTTTGGGCTTTAGATTCGACGGTGTCGCTCTGAGCTCCGTCTCCATCGGTCTGAAGGAGAATCTCGTTTTTGTTTTTATGGAGACATTAAAGGAACAGGCTGAATGGCCAGCTGTTCTACCCAAATGATGAACATTGTTTCCTTTCAGGGGCGGCACGGTGGCTCACATGGTAGAGCTGTTGCCTCTCAGTGAGAAGGTCACTGGTTCAGATCCCGGCCTGGAACCTTTCTGGGTGGAGTTTGCATGTTCTCTCTGTGCTGCGTGGGTTTTCTACAGGTACTCTGGTTTCCTCCCACAGACTAAAAACATGCATGTTAGGCTGATTCTTCTTCTTTCGTCTTTTCCCTCTTCAGGGGTCGCCACTGTGAGTCATCCTCCTCCGTCTCACTCTGTCCTCTGTGTCCTCTGTCCTCATGTTCATGACTTCATTGATGTCCTTTCCATTCAGCTCACCATTGACTTTATTCAATCGTTTATTGGCCTCAATTCCCGCACTACCCAGGATGCTCTTGAGATCTTTTGCAGATGGGCTGCTGTTGCCACCGAGGGTAGCAAGGAGGTCAGCGGCCACGTAGCGCATGTTTTAAGTTTAAAGACACGAAACGTCAGTCACGCTAAGAAATACAGAAGAGCTAGGCGAGGAGAGTTGACGAGATGCAGAGCCATCTCCCAGAGCTTGGTGCAGCAGAGTCAGTGGTGGCAATGACGTCAACGTAAGTGGTGGGCAAGCAGCTGGAGAGGGAGACCTTTAATTAGGAGAGTAGAGCTGATGGAGGGACAAACTGTGATCGTGGTCCAAGTGGTGGAGCAATGGCCATACACGGGAAAGCTGAGGTCAGAGAATTAATACAGAGGGGAATCCCTAACCCAAAAACCAAAGGGCAGAAAAGAGGTCATAGTTCCAGAATCAGATGAGCAGAATAAACCAGACATGGAGCAGGCAGGTCGGAGAATCCAGGAAACAGGTGTGAGATCGTAACAAGAACATCAGGTGTGGGCTTGGAAGAAACGCTGGACATCTACTGTCTACTGTAGAGTCCTGGCCTGATGGTGTTGATCTTCAGTAGATCAACATCATCAGGCCAGGACTCTGCGGTCTACACTCATCTCCAGGCCAGAGGTCACTCTTTCAGGGATGAAGATGTTCACATCCTGGACAGAGAGGAACGATGGTTTGAGAGAGGAGTAAAGGAGGCCATCTTTGTGAAAAGAAACCGTCCATCATTAAACAGGGGTGGAGCCTCCAGGTTCAACTGTCCCCCTCTTACAATGCTGTGATTGCTAGTATCACTCAGCCCTCTGTGAGTAGTAAACAGCCATCAGGTGCTAATGATCCATTGTTAGGCTGATGGTCCTTCTTGA